GTCTTTTCATATCTTCTGCCCATTTTTTGACTTGATTATTTGTTTTTTGGGTGTTGAGTTTGAGAAGTTCTTTATCGATCTTGGATACCAGCCCTTTATTTGTAGTGTCATTTGCAAATATCTTCTCCCATTCTGTGGGTTGCCTCTCGTGTCCTAGAGGCAGAGAGGACCCCTCCCAAGATCAAGGAAAACAGGCCAACACCCCGGCACGTAATAGTAAAACTCGCAAATCTTAGAATCGACTGAAGGGGTTTCTAAGAGAGGAGAGGCTTCGAGACTTTATCGTTACTCGTCTTTGATCCAATAGTTCAGGGCCTTTTCCTGTTCAGCCTTTGATCCTTCCACCTGTGGGCTGAAGACGGATCTGCTTGCAGCTTCTGCTTCCCCGCCTGTCCCTGAGGTAGCGCTTCCGTGTCACAGGCGGTCACGCGGTAAGCCTCAGAATTCTCATCATCATGATGAGCTTCCCCGAGTTGGGAATGTGGGCTCTTTTGCCCCGTGTCCCTTCCACCATGACCTTCTCGTCTCCCAGGCTGTGGAGGCCGAAGCTGGGGGCAAGCCAGGCGCAGGAGCATGGAGCCCGGTGGCCCCAGCGGTGTCTGATGCCTGGGCTATGCCAGGATCCAGCTCAGGAGACCACCTCTCAGTCTGGTATTTCTTCATGCGCCCCCAGGGTGCTGCCGTGGTGTCAGAATCACTGGAACGTCTCATGGAGTTCCTCACCCGCACCTCCATGGGATCCCTCTTGAAAGAAGAGCACGAAATGATTTCAGAAAGAAGAGTTGTGTGTTCTGTCTCCTTTTGGTCAAAGGTCTCCTCTCACGTGGAAACAGCTGAGAATTCCCAGGGCTAGAAGCAATCTCAGCCATCCATCCCCTGGCCTCATGGGACGATTCTTCCCTCTCCCAGGAAGCAGACCCATCGCTGCCCTAGATTGTGCTTCCTGGCGCCTCACACCGCGCAGCATAGCTCTCCCTTCTTACCTCGAATCCACTGGCTGTGATTTAAGCTTTTCTTCCATGTGAAATGGAACAGTTGGTTCATGGACGTCCAGACCTGCTTCTCAAATGGAATGCTTAGAGATAGTCTCAGGAATCTGCCAGTTCTACCAACACTTAAAAATTTTGCATTTCCACTTAGATGATCATCTAAAAATATACATATTTCCAATTATAGGGACTAAACTTTTGCAGTGAAACACACAATTAAAAGACAGTTCTGTGGAATAAGTAGGTATCTTGCAAATGCAGCCCATGGAGCCACTGTTGGGGGGGTGTTGTGGGGGGTGGGGGGCGGTGTCGGTGGATGTATTCTTGGGCTTGCAAGAATATTTTCCTTTATAAAAGAGATGTACGTTATTCACCTTTGAAAAGCGTCGATCTCTAGGCCATTGTTCTCAGTGCCATTCTCCACCACTGCCCACTGTTGGTGAAATTTTTATTGGTCTGTAATGAAAAGTAACGCTCCTTGACGTAGCCATGTGATCTGTGCGCAAAGCACGTGGGAGCCACATTTTGAGAAACAGGGAGCTAGCCCAGCCCTCCATTAACGTCATCATGCAGGAGGGGGAATGGAGGACAGGGAGGAAAAGGCCCAGTGGCAGAATGGGGGCCGCGGCAGGTGACTGTCTCCCAGCACTTTGGGGGGCGGTGGCAGGTAGTGCTCTGGTGCGCTCTGACCCCCAGTGGCAGGAGAAGAGTACCAGGCTGTGGTTTCCCAGGCAAAGTACCTGCGAGCAGGGACAGCCTGGGTGGCTCACGGGTTGGAGCTCTGGTCTCTGCAGATGGGAGGGATAGTTCCCTCTCCTGTCAACCTCCATCCTTTATTTGCCCTGCTAGGGGGGCAGAAGACCCTGTTCCAGTCCTCAGGGTCCCTCAGGGTGCCTCCTGATTAGGAGTGATCTCAGGAGGCAAGCAGTTGGCATCTTTCTCCCCAAGCACCCCTCCCTCTGTTGCTTGCCTGGCACAGATAGGCACCCCGCCCCCCCTTAGTGCTCATGCCTGTGCTTTGTGTCCCTTAAGTTTGTGGAATTGAGCCAACTCCTAAAACCCATTTGGAAGCATAAGGAAGCACAAACCCATAAGGAAGCAGGGCTCGTGCTTGGCCCAGAAGAGACTTGTTCCCTGCGTAATGCTGACTGGTAGCTCAAACCCCAGCTGACATGAAGTGACATAAGCTGATAAAGAGAAAGTGACACCATCTCTTTTTTCTTGCCCCTCCCCCCTCCAAAGGAGAGCCTGTTCCAAGGTAAGCCATGGGGTGAGCAGAGGGCTGGGAAAGCACCAGGGCTGAGAAGGGACACGAACCAGCTGTGGTTAGCCGGGAAGAGAGCAGACTCAGGACCTCAAGACTGTCCTCAGACAGTTGAGGGACAGTTGGGTGAAATACGGAATAGACTGGCCAAAGACTCCAAGGTCTAGAACAGGTAAGACTTCAGCTCGGTGCACAGAAGACCTTTGCAAAGGTCAGGCTCTCCACCACTGGAACAGGCAGTTTTGAACGCAGTGAGCAGCCCGTCCCTGGGAAGATTCAAGCGGAGGGGAGACTGTCCTTTCTCTTCACCCTTTCCCTGAATCTTCTGCCCGGTTTGAGAAGGCTGGTGTTTCCAGCTCAACATCAGATTGAAACATAAAATACTTCAGACCATATCACTGGGTGATTTTGTCCAAATCAGGCTTAAAGTTAAAGTTTTGAGCAACCGTGGGGTCTCTCAGAGCGGGGCAGGAGAGCTGGCCCCCAGTGAGCGGGTTTGACACCAGCTATTTGGCACATACGGTCTCCTGGCGTCCTCATGCAGGACCATCACCACGTTGTATAGATGAGGAGGCTGTGTGCCAGAGAGGTTCACACACGGTGTTGGGAAGACCAGGATTCAGCCCTCTTTCTGTTAGCTTCAAGCAGCAGATGGCCACCCCGTACATCCCCGGAATTCCCTGCCAGCCAGCCCATTGTCTCCTCAGACATACCTTGTCGGCTCAGACAGCAGCACCAAGGGGCATCTGAGGAGAAAATATCCTCCCTGACATCAGCCTTGGAGAATTTTTTCGAGGAGAGGCTGGGAGCCCTTGATTTCTAATCATCCTTAGTCCATCAACCGGTTCAATTCTGTGTTCAATCTGGACCCCATTTTGGGATACCAGGGACCCTTTCATCTGGAGCCCAGGGGCCTGGGTTTGGGTCCTAGCTCCACCTCCGACCCGCAGCGTGACCTTGGGCGATTGTTTGTTTGCCTTTTCTATCGGTGCCTGTCCTGTCTGCATCTCAGAGTTGTAGGGATTCAGTAAGTTCACGGATATGAAGCTCAGTAGACCAGAGCCTATCACACTGCATCAAATCTTTCCTGGAAAGAGACCGTGAGGAATGCATCAGAACATACACGATTAACTGACACGTTACTGTTGGTGGTGGTGCTGACACTCACGAGGGCACTGGCAGAATGTCATGGTGCTGAGATTTATGGAGCACTTGACTCACTGAAGGGACCTTGCTGTTTATCCCGGGACACCTCAATGCAGCGCCACACCGTTCCTGCTCTCAGTTTTTCAAAGGCTGTGTGACTTAATGTTGTCTCTGGGTGATGGAATTAATAGAATGTGCTGGCTGGAAACTGTTGCTAGGCGACTCTCTTCTGTGGTTTAGAAAGGGAGAGCGATGATGTCCCTCAGGCGCTGTCTTTGACTCACACAAAGGCTGGATGACATCAGGGCTAGGAGGCTGGTGGGCTCCGTGCCTCATCTGCAAAAGTAGCAAGTCTCCAGGGTGGCCGTGTTTGCAAATGGCCCTCCTTCTTGAATCGGCTTCCTGCATCCCTACCATTGTCCTTCTGAGTCCATTTTCTGAAGCTAAGTTTCTGAGAACCTCAGCTGGCTCCCCCAGTAAGGAAAACCCACGAGCCCACTTAACGAGGAGGCTTGGGGTGACTTGTGGCTCAGTGGGGTCCTCGGCATCTGGGTTCTTTCCCCTTTCCCCTCTGCCATCCTGGCTTGTGGCCTTCGTCCCACGGGCTTGACCCGTCACGCCCCGGGGGCTACTGCAGTTCAGGTGCAGAATGTCACCTCTCTTTTGGCTGTCCTTGAGGAAACCTTTCCCCCCAGCTCCCAGCAGGCATCCCCTCAGGCAAGGGGAGAGGTTCGGCGACCACCTTAGACTGATCCTAATTTACTCCCTTCTTCCATGGAGGAAGAGGGGAAATCGGACGAGACGGTGGCTCTGCCATTGAGGAATATGGTGGGGATGGCACTTTTACGTGAGCAACTCATGTCTCCGATTGTGTATCTTCGCATGTGTCAGCCCTCTGTTCTACCTCCTATTAGCTGGGGGCCCCTGGTCAGGTCACTTAGCTTCTCTGAGCCTTACCTGTGAAGTGGGATGGGGGATATCCACACCAGGGGCTGGTGGTCAGAATACATCTCGAGCTCTTCGCAGAGAGCCTGGCGATCCTAAGTCCTCAGGAAATGTGGCTACTCTTCCTTCTGCGTGCTTCCCATGTGTCTGTCCCCGTGCTGGGACCGGGACAGTTGCAGGAGAGGAGTCAGAGAAGGTCAGACCCGACTTCTGCCTCTAAGGAGCATCCAGTCAGCTAGGGAAACCAGATGTGTTCCTAAAATTAGGGCAACACTAAAAGGTCCAGGGCCTGTGGGAATGCTCCCTCTGTGTTAACTAGCTGTCCTCAGTGTGGCCACTGCCCTTGGGTCTGGTTCCAGAACAGCAGAGACCTGCAGAGTGGTCTGGGGGAGCATTTGTCACCTCCCAGGCCCGTCCCTGCCATAGGCTCGGCAGTCTTGACTTTACCTGTTCTTATCCACACACACTGACAAACAAGCCCCTGATCATCCGACCGTCCCCTCCTGGACACGTCACTGTTTGCTCTCTGGTGGCCCTAAATGGGCACAGGGCCCTGTGTGGCCGGACGGTGCAGGAGCGTGCACAAGCCGAGGGCTGTGTCTGCAGACCCCACGGGGAGGGCAGGGGCAGCCGGCGGGCCGGGCTCCGGCGATCGGGTCCCTGCGCGTCTCCCCACAGAGGGCCATCCGCGTGCGCAGCCACTCCATGGAGACCATGGTGAGCAGCCAGAAGAAGCAGCATGGCGGGGGCATCCCCGGCAGCCTCAGTGGTGGCATCGCATACACCAGCACGGAGGTCACCAAGGCCACCTTCTCGGTGAGTGCCGCAGGCCCCGGGGCAGCACACGGTTCCCGGGGAGCCGCCCCCGCAGGCCTGCGAAGGAGGGTCTGTTCACCCAGGCTTGGGTGAGGAGGCCAGAGCGGGCACCGGGGAGATTGGGGCTGTTTGGGGGGTGACCCCAGGTCCCGCCTGTGAAATGCAGCCTCCGTCCCAGGCACAGCTGGGGCTGGCCCAGCCTGGAAGCCCGCCCATTATCCTGTTCTCGGAGTTCCTTTGACAACTGGGTCTCCTCCTCGGGGCCTGCCCTGAAGAGTGGTTCTGGGGCACGTTTCTCTGCCCAGGGGCTTGGGACCCAGGAGGGGTGGCCTCGCTTTGTTATTAATCGCAGTAGCCACCCCCCGGCTTACTGTGCCCTAGGGCCTGAGCGAAGTCATGCACGGACATTCTCTCATCTGATCCCTGTCACAGCTCTTTGAGGTAGGAACTGATGTGTTCTCCATTTCAGATTTGAGGAAAGGAGGCCCAGAGAGGTTTAGTGACCTGCTCCCGGTCACTTGCTAAGTTGAAGAGCTGGGGATTTGAACCCACGTCTCCCCGACCCAAAGTCTTTGCTGTTAATCACTGTGTGTGCAGTTCCCAAGGCAAGAGCCTGGCATGGCAGTGGGTTTGGGCCTGGTCTGCTTGCACCAGTGACTGGCCAGGTGAAGGAACCACGTAGCTGGTCCATTTGAAGAACAAAGTGACTTTGGATTCATATAGACTAGGGTTTTCTTTTCTTTTTCAAACAGAATACACCCATCTTTTTTTTTTTTTTAATTTTTTTATTCTTATGTTAATCCCCATACATTACATCATTAGTTTTAGATGTAGTGTTCCATGAGAATACACCCATCTTGATACTAAGGGTTAGTATTGCAAGTGGTCTTAACACAATTCATTGAACTTACCAAATAGTTTCCCAGCTGTATCTTGTTCACCCTGAAGGTCTGTGAAAGGAGCAGGGCGGGACAGTCATCCGCATTCTGTGGGTGAGGAGACTGGGGCCCAGAGAGTTTGGCTTCTCACCCCAGGTGGCACAGCACACGAACAGCAGAAGTTGGGGCCTGCGCTAGAGGCAGGTGGGCTCTGAAGAACGGCCTCGGTCTCCCTTTCCTCAGCCCCACGCTCACCCCCCCCCCCGCCACGTGTGCTGAAACAGCCTCATTCTTGGCGGGTTCCCTCAGCCTGTGGACCTGGCTCTGCCAGTCTCGTTCCATCTTGTTATTGAGGTGCCCAGCTTGGACCCAGTTATTTGTGAGGAATGGACGGAGAGCCGGGGCCCTGGGTTCTCGTCCCTGTCCTGCCAGCAATTCGCTCCATAACCTTAGCCCAAACCCCTCGCCATTTGGCTCCTCAGCTTCCTCATTGGTAAAGCAAGGAGTTGGGCCAGGTCACTCCCAGGGCTCCCTCAGCCGTGTGGTTCTCGGTGTGTGACCCCCTGAACCGTCCTGGCCTTCTTGATATGCTGGGCTCTCTTCATGGGGGCCCTGGCCCCTGTTCCTCCCAGAGCTCTGGTCTTTGGTGATGATTATGTGGGGCCACGGGGTTTGCCTGAAGAACACAGGAAAGCCGGCTGCAACGACTGGAGTCTCGGGGTCTCAGCTCCCGTTACGGAGATCCTAGCCTTCCCAGCTGCCTTGCTATTTTCTGGGATCTCCTCCAGACTGGTTGGGGGCTGCAGGAGCTATTTGTAGACCAGAAAGGGGGGTGAGAGCAGTCGGGGTCTGGGGTGGGCTGGGAGCGCTCATGTTGGCGGTTTTATTGGCAGCCTCCGGCGGCAGCGGTGAAGAACCAGTCGCGGAGCCCCATCAAGCGGCGGTCGGGGCTCTTCCCACGGCTGTACACAGGCTCCGAAGGCCAAGGCGACGGCCGGACACGATGGTAACTGTCCAGTGCGGGGCTTGCGGGTCCTGCCACGCTGCCAATGCCCAACCTTGGGGAGGGCTTTTGCGCAGCTTCGGTAGATGGCTTCCCCCCAGCTTGGGCCCGCGCTTTGGATACTGGCACATCCCGGTCACTCCCTCTGCTCCGGCCACTGAGGCAGACTTGGCCAGTCTCTGTTCGGGACTTTCCAGAAGTGTCCGTGTAGCATTTGGACCCAAATTAGAAACGTTGCTTGGATTCTTTTCTTCCTTTACCTCCTCTCTTATGGAAGCCTTCCCTGATCGTGCCTGAAGTTCACTGAACTTCCCTCAGGGCTTCTAGAATGTTTTCTCTTTTGTTAAAAGCAGCTTTCATATTGCATCATACTTAACCCGTTCTTGCTAATTGTCTTTCTCATCCTTTAATGGTGAGCCCATTTGTTGTTTAATTCAGCAAGCAACGTTTCTTGAGTGCTTGCTACATGCTGGGCTCAGTGATCAGGCAAGAACTACAGAAGACACAAACCTGCCTTCCAGAAGCTTACAGTCTTGTGAGGGAAAGCGAGACATTTAGGTTGACTTCCAGGTTGTCCCCCTGGATGGTGGCACCAGCCCCTGAGCTCGAGCATGCAGGATGAAGAACAGGCTTACGGAGGGGGATGAAAGACTCTGGAACCTGTACGTGTGAGAGTCCTTACGGCCTACCCAGTAGAGAAATGCAGAATTTGCAGTGGCCAGAAGGCAGGTCTTGAGCTTAGGAGCCAGGCCTTGACTGCAGAAGGGAGTCACTGGGGCATAGGTGGTGTTTAAAGATGGAGCAACGAATACAACCACCCAAGGGAGTGTGTAGAATGCCTGGGAAACACCAGTATTTCGGGGCAAGGGGAGAAAGGGAAGGAAGACGAGAAGAAAGCCTGGAGAGGAGGAATTCCAGGAGGGAGGGTCCGCTGTGTCAGACATGCAGAGAAGCCCTGCACCATGGCCCAGACCCCTGCTTGGAGGGACAATTAGGAGGTCTTTAGCAGCCTCATTAAAAGTGCACTGAGGCACTCATGCTTCTAGGATGGCTGTCATCAAAAAGACACATAATAACAAGTGTTGGCCAGGATATGGAGAAATTCGAATCCTCAGGCTTTGCTAATAGGAGTCTAGACTAATGCACCTGCTTTGGAAAACCGCCTGGCAGCTCTGCAGAGAGTTAAACATGGAGTTACCATATGACCGAGCAGTTCCATTCCTGTATATGCCCAAGAGAAGGAATACGTATGTCGGCATGAAAACTAGCACACAGATGTTCCTAGCAACATTACTCATAATAGCCCAAAGTGGAAATGATCCAGATGTCCATCTCTCAGTGAAGGGATAAATAAAATGTGCTGTAACTGGAAAATGGGATTTTTTAAGGAGTAAAGTACTGATATATGCTACAACTTAGATGAACCTTGAAAAGACTGTGCTAAGTGAAAGAAGCCAGTCACAAAAGACCACAGCACGTCATGTGATTCCATCTGTATGAACTGTCCAGAACGGGCAAATCCAGAGAGATGGAAAGTTGATTCGTGGTTGCCAGTGCTGGGGGAGGGGCGGACTAAACTCAGTGGTGATGGTTGTACAACTCTGTGAATAGACTAAAAACCCTTGAATTATACACTTTAAGTGGGTGAATTGTATGTGGATCATGTCTCAGTAAAGCTGCTATAAAAACTGTGTTGAAGACAAGGCCATCTTGTCCCCACCAGGGGGCACAGGACAAATTGTGGGCGTCAGTACATGGTCTTTGTTAAACTCCAAGAGAAGGAAGCCCTTGGGCCCTTGGCCAAGAGTAGCCCGTTTACCAAGATGCCCTTCCCAGCCACCTCGTCACACAGACCCAGGGAGCTCGTATTATGGCCTGTGTGAAGGGTGTTATGCACGGTGACCCTGCCAGCCCCGCCACGGAGTCCACGTGCGTTGGGTTATTTCCCTGCTGTGGGAGTGGGCGTCATAGACCCGCCTGTTCTTGACTTAGAGCTCTGCCAGGTGGGATGGCCAGCATAGGTGGGGAGTGGACGTGGGCTTGGGGGCATCGGGCCAGGACTCTTGCTTGATCGCTTTTGACTTGCCTAGGAGCCTAAGGTAGCCCCTGATGGAGCAGAAAACCCTGTTGTCCACTGTGGCTGGAGTGGGGCTCAGGGGGGTGGAGGTCCTGGTGGCTGTGCTCTGGCAGGGGGTGCCGTGACCCCATAGGCCCTGTGGTGCTGAGAGCTGGTTGGGCCTATATCAGGCCTGGGGGTGGGTTGGGGGCGTAGCGGCTGGCCGCATGGCTTCACCCCTCTTTATTTCTCTTTCCTTAGTGACAGTGCATCCAGCAACCCCAAGACCCCGGATGGTGCACACTCTTCTCAAGAGATAAAGTCTGAGGCCTCATCCAATCCTAGCTCTCCAGAAATCTGCCCCAACAAGGAGAAGTAAGAGAGCGAGGGTGGGGGCAGGGCTGGCTTTAACCACTTGGAGCCCTGGAATGCGCGCTCTGCTGAGAGCCTGCATTTTTGCCTGGAGAACTCTGTGGAACACAGAAGCCAGCCAGCAGGGGGCACGGGGAGTCACTGGTGGGCAAGCTCAGTCCCTGCCAGGTCTGCCCTGCCTGGGGTGGGGGTGGGGGGGCTTTGGTGAGTGACCAGGCCTGTCCCGCTCCTTTACCCACAGGCCCTTCGTAAAGTTGAAGGAGAATGGCCGAGCTAACATCTCCCGCTCCTCCTCCAGCACCAGCAGCTTCAGCAGCACAGCGGGGGAGGGGGAGGCCGTGGAGGAGTGTGACAGTGGGGTAGGTGTGGCTCCACCCAACCCTGGGGAGCACGGAGGGGTGCCCTGGGCCCAGCCGGACACCTGCCGTGTGCATCAAACTAGCTGCTGTGGGTGGAGCCCCATCCGGGCTCTG